AAGCATATTCAGAATCCACAACAGTGAATTTTTATTGGGGAAATTTTCAAAGTTGTTTTCATGCTATATCATGTTCACAATGATAGAGTTCTGTGTATAGAAATTGATCCATATTATTACCAACAGGGAAGAGGTATCAGAAACAGATAAAGAAGACCAAGAAGAAGTCAAAGCCTTGAGCTGAACTGCTTGGTACAGAGTAAAAGATGGCTCACTTATATCTTCACATTGAAACAACCTACACTTACATAGGATCACTGGGATCACTAACAAAGTTTCTAACTTTGTCAAAGGAAATAAAGATAAAGAAATAAGAGTTAAATGTGCATAATTCCATAAATTTTACCAGTTACTGAATACTTGGGTTAAAATGGACAAATAAAAGTTAAGTAAGTAGACTTCCATAAATTTTATGTCATTGAGTATTTGTATCTATTTTTTTATTGTATACTACTGTGTTTGACATCACATCATAATTACCTTTCTCATCTTACATATTCTCAATGTCCTATTTACTATTTTTATTTGAAGAGTATTTTCAGAATTTCTGTATTTGATCTATATTGTAGATATCACATAAACAAGAATCAGAGGCTTTATGGCTCCAACTGATAGACTATTAGTAAAAGAAAGAAAAGAAAAAAGGATGAGAAAGGGAAGTCTTGAAAACTTAAAAGTCTTTTTGTTTTAAAGAATAGTCTCTTTTTCAAAATGTGATTTATTCCATTTTTAGAACATGTTTGAAATCAGATATGAACTGCTTCTAGTTCTGTAACCAGCTCAGCTTGCCTGTGTTTTATACACAGGCATATAACCCCATTGCCAACCTACTCACCAAAAGTTATTCACTTTGGTGTATACTGGAAAAGAAACAGTTAAGGTTTTGTCTCTTCTGCATCGTGCAAATGGCAGTCCAACTCAGGGTTGTACATTCTACCTCCGCCCCCGCCGCCCATGTTTGAAGTTCTATTTAGAACCATCATTCACTTCAGAGTCCTGGGCATAACCTCTCTAAGATGCAGCCATTATCCACAACACACCAAGCTGCAAAGGAGGCTGGAAATAAATCTTTAGATGAAGGGAGGAGGTATCTGCCTACTTAAAATTAAAGGACTCTATGGCTAAAAAGAAAAAAAGTAGAGGAGAACAACAGCAAGTTTCTGGCACAGCACTATTTGGACAATGTATCAGTCACCTTTTTGTTGCTATGACTAAAACACCTTACATAAATAACTTTGGTTTATGGTTTCAGAGGTTTCAGTCCATGGTCAGTTGGTTCCATTGCCTTGGGCTTGAGGTGAGGCAGAACATCATAGCAGAAGGTTGTAGCAGAAGAAGGCAGCTGCTCGGCTCATGGCATAAAGAAAGCACAGGGGCTGGGGGAGGCTGGGCACCAGAAATAAGTTTCAGGACATACCCCCAGTGACATACTTCTCCATTAGTCCCACCTCATAGTAGTCCATTCTGCTATCAGTGGACTAATCCACTGATGAGGTCAGAGTCCTCATGATCCAATAGCTTCCCAAAAGTCCCACCTCTGAACATTGCTGCCGTGGGAAACAAGTCTTCTACATCTGAGACTCTGGGGGGCATTCCAGATCCAAACTATACCAGAGAAAATGTGTGGAACAAAAATTTTTAAAAATTGGGCTTAGATAGGAGAAATTTTAAAAATTATAAATTGACAATCCCATACCAGCACCATCAAGAATAAAAGGTACCATGTCAGATTGATATATCTGTCAGATCTCTACTGTGAAGATAAACAGAGCAAACTATCAAAGCCTAAATTTTTAAAAATATATTTTTAGTTGTAGATGGACACAAATACCTTTATTTTATTTATTTTTATGTGGTGCTGAGGATAGAACCCAGTGCCTCACACATGCAAGGCAGGCACTCTATCACTGAGCCACAATCCTAGCCCCAAAACCTAAACTTTTTAATTATAAGTCCCTTTGTTCTGATTCCATGTTCACTAAGAAATCTTTTCTATCCAACAGAAGAATATATGCTCAACAGGTCAACATAAACATCAGTTTACCTGACAGTTACATTTCTCAGTGTGTAATTATAGTACAAGTTCAGCATCCCTAATCCAACAATCTGAAAGTAGGAATCCTCCAAAATCCACATGATTTTGAGTACTGACATGATGCCACAAGTGGAAAATTCTGCAATTGACCTTATAAGGGGTTTGCTGTTGAGGTGGAGGTGCACTAAAAATATTGTATAAAACTACCTTGAGACCATGTGTTTTGGCTTGGGTCCTGTCCCAAATATATCTCATTATATATATATGCAAATATTCCAAAGTATGAAAAAATCTGAAATTCAAAACACTTCTGGTCTCAAGCAGTTTTGGATAAGGAATACTTAACCTATAGTCTCTTAAATTATGTTTGAGCTAGTTAGAGTAAGGATTGATCTCTGGGCCAAGATAACTTTATCAAGAAAAATTCCACTTTGTGAGCATTCCTTTCCATATGGCCAGCCTTCCTTCCTATATGGCCAGATTGTGATGGTTAGCTTTTGCTACGACAATACTACATAACAAAGAGGTCTAAAACAATTCCATACTTGCAGGTCAGCAGGGATCTGGCTGGTCTGGGCTTAGTCAGACAGCCCTACTTCAGGTTACAGCACCTAGAGCAGTTTTGTCATACTACAAATCTATCAACTGACTGAGACAGCTCTGCTCCATGTTTGTGGACCAGTAGGATATCTGAGGTATGTGCCTACAACAAAGTGTAGAGAAGAAAGAGAACAAATAAAAATATGTGAAGCTTTTACTGGCCTACACTCAGAAAGTTCTGGCTGGTTCTGTTGGCCAAAGAAGTCAAACACATGGTTACACACAAAATCAAGGGAATCCTCTGCCTCTTTAGTAAGAGAAACTATAATGTCAGGGTAAAGGGTATGTGTACTGGGAGATGTGAAGAACTAAAGTCATTATTGTAATATACCACACTTGGTTGACTGTAAACCATAACAATGTTCAATTTGGACCAAAGTCAGTGTTATGGTTTTATATAAGGTGTCCTCCAAAAGTTTATGTATGATGAAACAATTCAAGAAGGCTTAGAAATGAAATGATTGCATTATGGGAACCTTAACCCAATCAGTGAGTTAATCCCCTGATAAGGATTAATTGAGTGGTAACTGAAGACAGGTAGGGTGGGCATTGGGGGCATGCCTCTGGGGTATATATTTTATATCTGCTGAGTGGAGTCCCCCTTCTCTTTCCCCCCTTCCTGATCATCATATGAGCCCCTTCCTTTTGCCACACTCTTCCACCATGATGTTCTACCTCACCTGTAGCCCTGAGGTATGGAGCTGGCTGTCTATGGACTGAGATCTCTGAAACCATGAACCCCAAGTAAACTTTTCCTCCTCTAAAATTGTTCTTGTTAGGTGTTTTAACCACAGCAGTGAAAAAGCTGACTAAAACAGTAAGGTTATCAAAGGGAAAACTCAGGACACAATTATTTGGGGCAAAAAGATAGTTTCTTTAAGTTGTAAAAAAAAAAAAATGCTGTAATATTGGAAATAAATCCTTCCCAAGTGACATTAAGTTTCCATCTATCTGCACATTCACATGCATATTTGCCTTGCCAAATCCTCACAAAACTTTTAACGTAACTAATATTACCAAGAGTTCAATGAAACTTAGGCAAAAGAACTTCCCAAAGGCCACAGAGATATTAAAGAGAAGCAAGATTCAAAACACAGTATCAGATGCCACTTCTAGTGCTTCTTTCCACCATAACAGTTCTTTCTTTGATTGATTAGATAACCAAGAGTTTCTAGTAAGGATGTGTGTTGGATCTGAAATGTTCTAATCAAGACATAGAGAAGGGCTATAAATGAACTTGCCATAAGGGTCAGTGTTATCCTGCTAATGATACTGTTTTCCACAATTGCACAACTTTCCCATGTTCTCTACTGGTGCTGAAATACCCCAAGCTTGGTCCAGAATTGTTTAGAATTGTAGTGGCTCAAAGCCTGAAAAGCATTATTGCTTTCTTTGACTGCTGTTCTGAAAATCAGGATGAGTAGGGAAACAGAAGCAAACTGGGACCAAAATCCAGAAGTTCATGGCCCAGGTAAGGCTTCTTCTGTGCTTCAAAACAGCATGTTGTGAGCAAACTGCAAAGAACCTAGACCCACTATCTGCTATTTAGTGCCTTAGTTTTGGGTAGGAGGCTTACTTTGACATTGTTAAACATCTTTTTTACTATAAGAAGCCACTGTAAAACACAATTATTGGGGGAGTTTAGAAGCTCAAATACACATAGAAGACAAAGTTTGTTAGGGAAACTCTTCCAGAGGGAGTAGGGTCATTCTTTCCTAAAGTGGGGAATCTCCTGCTGCCAGTCCAAGGCCCAATTCCATATCCACCATCCCCACCTCCCAATGTGAAGCAGAATCATTTTCCTGCTGAGATCTGGGACACTCTTTGGCTTCTGATGGAAACTACTCTCCTCTCAGCCAGATCAACTCTGCCACCTTCTGTGGTGATAATCCATGGTAGGTCCCCTAACTTTTCTGACCAGTGGACACATTGCCTGCTTGGACATCCATTCACCACAGCCACCCTTCCTTTCCAGGGTGTATCCCTGAGGGCTGGGACTGGCCTACTGAGCCTCAGGTATATTGAGCCCTGCCTCTGCCTTTGGCCCACTCCACAAAGCTAAGAGAAGCTGGCTCTGGCCCTGGAGAGTAAGGACTACATATGGTACTATTTTTAGCCACACTGCACCCTTCATCCTATTTCAGAAAAGCCACGCACTCCTGCACCCTGCGTCCTAGGCAAACTCAGGATCTCCCTGGGAAGCTTAGAGAGGTGGTGATCTGGCCCTCTCAGTGGCTAGCTACCCCCTGGCGGGCAGTATTTCTGGCGCCTACTACGCTGGAAGAGGAGGTCGGGGGCGGGACAACCGGTGGGGCTGCCCTCCCGCAGTGACGTCCCCGGGGGCGGAGGGGTGATCAACTGACTCTGAGCCCTCCCTGCCTCTCCCAGAGCCAGGTCCGTCGGTCCTCGGGAAATGCTACTACCACGATTGCAATTGTCGCGCACGCCTTCGCCAGTCAGACTGCTCTACCACTGTTGGGCCCGGGTCCGAAGACGCATCACCCAGAGTGGAAACATGCAGCCAGGAGTGGCTCTGCAGGCTGTGCTGCTGGCGGTGCTGCTGGCGGGGCCACGGGGCGTGAAAAGTCGCCTTCTGAGCGGTGAGTGCGTGCGCTGGGGCGAGAGCTCTTGCCGGGACAGTCCGCACCCCAGCAGTCCGCACCGGGTGGGGAGGGAGGCGTTCCCCGCTACACTCCCCGGCCCAGCCTTCGGAACCTCCTGCTTCCAGAGAGCAATTGCTCCGCAGCTGGGATCGGGACCGGTTCCTGGGGCCATTCAGAGTCCTGGAATGCTGGAAGTCCATTCCCCGCCGAGGGTTACCCTAATGGGTCTGAGAACTAGGTTGGGTGGGGCAGTGGGCGAACCCGCTCAGCGGGTGCCCCTCCAGCTCAGCCAGCTCTGTAGAACACGGCTCTATAGTTCCTAAGAACCCCACACGGAGCAGGCTCACCAACCCCCTTTACCTCCCACTCGAGAAGTCCACCACGCAGACGGCGGGGTGGAGATCCTGGATCCGCGGTGCTGTGGGAACCTTGCCAGTTATTCCTGGTCTCCTCTGTGGGGAGGATGGCAGGCTCCAGCAGCTGGAATAGGAGCGCTTAGAGATGGGGAAAGCTGCTTAGTTAGCGTGGGACCAGCCCCGTCTGGCTCTGGGGAATGACTCTCTGTCTGCTTCCTTCCTTGTGTCGTGTCACGGCAGCCTCGGATTCGGACCCCAGAGGAGGTACAGTGCTCTGCTTTTTGCCTCTTCCAGTTGTTCTGCGTGTGGCGGGAGGGGAGAGGGCGAATACTGGTGCCCTTTTTCTCCTGTGCTGGGCGTCGACGGCTTGGCCAAGAGGAGGGAGGAGGAAGAATAGTAACCTCTTCCTCGGGGGTATCCCAGTTTGTGGAACTGATTTAGCCCTCTAGGGTTGATTTCGAGATGGGGTGTAGTGCGGGGCAGTAAATGGGGAGAGTAACTGAGTTGAGCTGCTTGGGTTAGGGCTGCAGGAGCTCAGTAGTTGATAGTGGTGGGTAGAAGGCCCGCCTACTCTTCCCCTTCCTGCAAATGAGAAAAGAAAGACACTTCCTGAAGGCAGGGGAACCAGATGGGCCCTCCGCCTCTTTCCAGCTCTGGCTGTCTCTGGCACTCACTGCAGGATTGGGATGTGTGGCCAGGCTGGACCATACAGGAAATTCGATTAAGGTGTTACATTTTCTCTTGACAATCTAGCATGGAAAAATGAGGGCTGCCAGTAAATTCAACTCCAATTTACAGTTATGCTGGTGGCAAGTTTGGGGGTGTTCCTAGTGGCTCATTTGCCTTCCATTTGCTGCCTGATTTGGAGCCCCCTTTAAGGAATCATAGAGGCTTGGCTGGCCCAGCCTTCTTTCCAGGCAATCTGGCTGCTGTCACTGCCTCTCTGAAACACCTGCTTGGTGAAAACATCAATGTCAAAGAGCCCTTTTAATTTGCTGGTGGACCCGTCTAGTGAGAGCTTCTCTATTTAGCAGCAATAACCAAAAAAAAAAAAAAAAAAAAAAAAGGAAGAAGAAGAAAAAGGAGGAGGAGGAGGAGGAAGGAAGGAAGGAAGGAAAAGGGGAAAAGTGCAAGACTCTTCTAACTTGTTGCTTTTTGAGAATTTCTTTATAAAAGCAATGAGAGGAGAAACAGAAAATAAAAATTCACTGCAGCTTTCTGAATCATCTTTATGTGCTCTTTTCCATTTAGCACTAATAATGTAGTTAACTGTCTGCAGCCTTTGCCCTGCATTCTGGACAGTATTAGGAATAATGAAAGCTATCTGGCTCCCTGCAGCACTGCAAAACAAGTTGGGGAAACAAGAGCATTCCAGAAGGTCTGGGAAGAGGTCCCCAAATAAAATCCTTTACCCCTACTCTGTGGTAGCAATTCATCATACCCACAGCCCACAATTTGGCTCTGTCATTGCAGGGACTCCTCTCTTTGTTGAAATGTGGTTTTCATTTTGTATAATTTAGATCCAGAGACATAAGCCATGTTCTCCCCTGGGCTAGGAATTGGCATTTGTTTCTGTATTTCCAGCACCTAGAACAGTGCTAGGCGAAAGGTACACTCAATACATGTTGATTGAACAAAGGAGGATGAATTAAAGAAAAAAAAGACAAAAAATTTTAAAACAAACAAATGAGTAATGAAGCTGAGGTTTAGCTGCTGCAGCAAGGCTTCAATCACCCAGACACAAGGAAGGGCAATGTGTGCTGAGGAACAATTTGCTACTTGCTTCTCAGTAGAATTCCATCCATTTATCTGAAAGAGTCTTTAGCCCTTCAGTGTCAGTCATATGAGACACACTAGTAGACTCCCAAAACAACCCAAGCCCGGGGTGGAGTGGGGAGTGAGCAGTCTAGTTGAGAGGTACTGGCTTGACTTTGTAATCAGATCTGGGTCCTGACTTGGACAATACTGATGATAAGCTATGTGACCTTAATCAGATTACTCAATTTCTCTGAGCCTCAATTTTCTCATTTGTAAAATGGCACATAAACAACATCTACATCAGGGTACTGTTATGAGGGTTAAATGAGATAAAGTCTATATATAAATGTAAAGCCCTTAACACAGTTAATGGCACACAGGAAAAGTTCAGTAAATCTTAGCTATTGTCTTTAGGTCAGGGGACTGTCAGTAATAGAAAACCCCACAGATATCATGTACTTAGCTTCAGCCCACATCAGAGACCGAGCAAATTAGTTCTGCTGCTCATAGGCAGAAGGTTTCAGGGTAGAGGAGTCCATGTCTGACTTCAGAACAACTCTCTTACCTGAAGGAATCACTCAACAGAGATACTCACTTTACACACTCTCCCCTGAGATTGCCTAAAAACATAAAATTGTTATTTATAATTCTTAAGCCATAAATCTTCATCAACTTCCCTTAAAAGATAAAAATGTCTGCTTTTCAAGAATCTATAACTGAGCAAACAAAACATGTGTCCCTGCATAATCTGAGCATCAGAGTTTAAATCACCCCAACTCCATGTTGGAAGCAGTATTAATTTTCTCTAAGAACTCTGACATAACCTTCTGGTGATAAGTAATCATAATTCTGTCCAGAAGTAGCTCCATTCTGATGCCTCTGAGCCTCCTTGCTCTTGTATACATTTCTGGTACACTGAAACAGGTTGCCTTCTTTTATCTCTAGGGCAGCTGGTTTGCCGGGGAGGGACACAGAGGCCTTGTTATAAAGTCATTTATCTCCATGATGCTTCTCGAAGACTGAACTTTGAGGAAGCCAAAGAAGCCTGCAGGAGGGATGGGGGCCACCTAGTCAGCATCGAATCTGGAGATGAGCAGAGATTGATAGAAAAGTTCATTGAAAACCTCTCAGCATCTGATGGTGATTTCTGGATTGGACTCAGAAGGCATGAAGAGAAGAGAAGCAACAGCACAGCCTGCCAAGACCTTTATGCTTGGACTGATGGCAGCATGTCAAAATTTAGGTAAGTATGTGGAGCTGACTTCTTTGACATAACTCAGAAAAGAGACAGGCTGGATCCACAGTGCCAGATCCTTGGGGAAGTGGAGGAGACCCAGCCAGACAGAGGCCTGGGGGTAGTAACACCTGAAGAGCCATTGACCAGGACAGTGTGGTGAAAGTGGTGAATTTAGCCTTGACTTGCGCCCCATGGATGTCCAAAGAGTTCTACTCAGGTGGGCGAGCCCATCAGCATTATGTCAAGAACACATGATGCTTAAAGTCTTCACCCTGTCCTTAATATGTAACAGCAAACCTAACCTTCTCCTGATGATTAGGGTCAACTATCCCTTGAAGTCAGTCTGTCCTTTTGGCTAGATATCTGGCTATAGCTAGAATCCCCATTAAGAGACTGAAGGTCCATAGAGTTGAAATCAGAATAGGACTGTGGACTACACAGAACTATGATAATGGTCAGAAAATCAGAACCAAGACCTAACTCTACAGATTGGCCAAGAGTGGAACTTTGGGAAGACTGCAGTTTATAGGACCCTCCTAAATCCTCAGCATCGAGACACTGATGCTCTCATACACCCCACCAAGACACTATGACATTGCCATCATCCCTCCCTATAAATGCAGTGACATTGTTAAAAATTTTAAAAACATCAAAATTCAGAGACAGACATAGGACTGTAAAATTTCTAACAGAATTAATATATTTTCATGATAGTTTATATAAGTAGTAAACACTAAGGCCCCAAAGGATAGAGAAGCAAAAGACCTGAGCAGATAGTTCACAAAATAGAAAATCTAATTGGTGTACAATCATATAAGAAAAAAGTTTAAAGTCATTATTAATTGAAGGTAAAGATTAAAAAATTACCTGTTACATTTAAAACAGTATGTAGGTAGCATCCATCACAACTCTTTATGCTAGTCATGTTCCTGAACTTCATATAAGTTGAGATTGCCTAAAAACATAAGAGTAGCTGAGAGTAGCTCCTCCAATAGCATTATGGACTTCTCTTCCTAAAAGATGATGGTTAGTAGGAAGAGTAGAAGGTTATTACTCTTCACATCACTGTAGCTGGTCCCAAGGTCATGACTGACTTATCAATCTCCCTCCTCTGCTATCCAGTCCAGATTCCCCCACCCTCTGCTGCTGTCAATAACTGACCTTGTGGCATGACCCAAATCCTCATCTCTGAATAGTGTTAGGCCCTAGTTACCTTGAACTTCTCAGGGTGAAGTTAACAGACTTTTCCATTGGCCATCAAAATTGGGCAAGTAAGTACAAAAAGATACCCAAGTAGATAACCTAAGAGTCTTCACCCTGTCCATAATATATAATAGCAAACCTACCTCCTCCTGATGATTAGAGTCAACTACCTCCTGCCAAGAGAATGACATCACTTCTTGCCTGCTTATTCCTATACACAAGGACCCCAAATGTCCAAGTGGCAACCAGTGACTCATAGCTCAATGAGACTTACTCTGTCTTCTAGAAGAACTATTCCCCTCTGGAAACTAAGAATCTCCAAACTCCCAAAGCCCAGCATTGCAGAGACAAGAAGTACAAATTCCCTGAGTGAGCCATTATCAGTGATGGAACTCCTGCTTTCTTCCCTTGGCTCCCAGACCCATGTATTCTACTAGTGGAGGCACAGAAGTTTATAAATCATTGATTTAACGTGTACTTCTTTTTGGATGATGCCCTGCCCCCAAAGTATTGCCTCTAAGCTGATACTTAAGCTAAGTTTTCAACAAGCTATTCTCCATCACTCTGTCAAGCTAGCAGCTTCAAGATGGTGCAATATGTGATCTGACAAGTGACTCCCATAGCCAGGTACTTACTTCCACACCTTCTTTGCTATAAAGTAGGTGCCTTTGTCTGATGAGATGTTGTTTGGGATCCTGTTTTGATAGATTAAATATTATATACACCTTTGAATAGTGGTACTGACTAAGGTTCTTGGGCAGAAAAGGCAAACTCATGCCTAGATTGTGTGTCTGTTCCTACCAAAATGAATCATTGTCCCTTTCAGGGATCCAATGTAGTAAACTTGCCACCAGGAGACATGTTGATCACCTCAAGTATTGATGCTATGACAAAGACACAGCATTGTCCTCTGTTGCTGGAAGGCTGGACATTTGGCAGTAGTAGTAGCCAGATCAGTCTTGATTAGTGGGATCCAATCTGTAGAATCCGTGCATAGCCTCCATTCTGCCTCCTTTGTTACTATATTTGCATATCTAGTGTGCTAGTACTAGGGTGACTGATAACCAGCTGGCTGGCATTACCTGAATGAGTCATTTGTCTCCTTGGCTGTTCAGTGCCTCTTACATGAGAGATGCTCCCTGGTATGCTTTCATGTGTGATAAAAAATTATCATATTTTATGCCCAGTGATATGGATCATTCTACTCAAGAAGTCCTTGTCCCCAGTCTTCCAGTCTTTTTCCCTTTAGATTCTTATCAGCTGACCATGCTGTTTGCTTTTCCCCTGAGTCTTTATGTATTCTAATCTTCCATAACTTCTATTTCCATACAAAGGGGTTAACTAGGTGCATGAACTAAAGCAATGTCCAGTGAGAGAGTGTCCCCCTAGCACACTGTCTTTCTAGGCCACCTCCAAGTGGAGCTGCAGTTCAGCTGCTGTCCATTTTGGCTTCTTCACTCATACTTAACTGACCTTCATGAACCAAGCTCAGGCTGCCTGTATCAGCTAGCCATAAGGAACTTCTCATGCACCATAAGTGTGAGCTGAGGCAGAGGCTTTGGAACAACAGTGGTAGATATCATGGCAGTCTGCTCTAACTATTCATATAGCACCCCTTTGGTCATAGATATACCTCTTCCACCTTATAACGGATTGATTCTAGCCTACCTGAGTTGTGATAAGATGTGTCTGATAATACCTAGCTCATAATGAGCAGGTCAGGCTGCATGGTCTCTTGGTTGGTGGTCCTTGCTTAGTAAAAAAAAAAAAAAAAATAGCAGTTGCTTTTCAAAAGGTGACTAGTTCTTGGCTACAGATGATATGACTTTGCTATAAAACCCTAGGAATCTGCAATGTGATTCTGTCATTGGGGTTGTCATGAATTCTATATGGGAATATGTTTCCCACCACTGGTATTTCAGTACACCTCAAATTCCAGTACTCCTCAAAGCAGTGCTCCTAGGTGTAAAATATGCTGCCTCTGGAACCCAAAGAGGCCTGCTAAGTATAAAATTTACTTCCTAAAATTATTAATAGTTTGCTCTTTTATTTGAAAGGTATGCTCTGGCATTGTCTAGATCACTAGATCCCTACACGTTTTAATGAAGTGGCAAGTTCCTGAATATTCATTCACAGGGTTTATCTCTAACCCTCTGGAGAACATGAGTCTTAATAAGACCTCTAGTATAATACCTACTTCTTACTCATCTGGTCCAACTGGCATAATGTCAGCAATAAAGTGAACCAGTGTGATTTTCTGTAAGATTTCTAGGAAGTTCAGGCCTCTTCATACCATATTACAACAGAGGGTAGGAAAAATCAATGCAGCCTCAGTCAAGACCATACAGGTATACTATTGTCCATTGCCAATAAGCACAAACCATTCCAGATTCTTTCTGATCCAGATGGAAAAGAATGTGTTCACCAGATCTGCACATTAAGTACTGAATTGCATATCAGCCTGCTCTAGCAAAGATATCACCTATGGCACAGCAGCTAAAATCAGGGTTTCACCTTGATTGAGTTTGTGCTATCATTGTGTTAGTCAGCTTTTCATTGCTATGACCAAAATACTGACAAGAACAACGTAGAGGAGGAAAAGTTTATTTGCCTTACAATTTTAGAGATCTTCCTGATTTTTGCATGAGTCAGAGTAGTAAATTAAATACGGATATGATGAGGAACATCACACTGCATTCTCTAGGTCTTTAAGGAGGGCACCATTTTCTGCCATCTTCCCTGGATTAAAGATATGGTTGTTGGTTTAGTAACTTGGGAGGGGGTGGGAAGGAGTGCAGTTTCAAAGGCTTCTACTTGATCTGCTCCATAGTAGCCTAAGGAACCAACATGGAACTATACCAACTACCAATATGTCTATTCAATTCATATATGTGGGGACCCGGACAATGACTACGGGCTGGGTCCTTCTGTGAGCTGACCTCTATTAATACCTGGTCCCAATATGTTCCCACTCCAAATGGGTAATAGCACTTCAAGTCTGAATATCAGTGTCAACTTATACCTTGTGTCAAACAGTTCTTTGTAATATTTGGATATACTCCCCTCTCCCAGCATATGGTTACTTAAGTAAATGGCCAGAGGTTCCTTTGGGGAAAGAACAGGGGAAATTATTATCACATGTGCCTGCCATGGTACTTCAGAGTCCTTCTTCCTGGAAACCTGACCTTTCCCTCTATCAGTTAGTATGAGTCTGAAAACTGACTCAAATCCAAAAATTACATTCAGCCATAATGTTCTATATCTCCCTGAGATGAAATAATGTAAAGGCTAGTAGGGAGTGTCAAGGGGTTTGAAAAAGAGGATGGAGGTAACTAATGAGGCACAAAGCCTAGCTCCTGACAGGGGCCCCAGCTGTCCACATAATGTCTAAGGAGTGCTTACTGCAAGCTTATCTATTGTTCAGGAAATTCAAGTAGAGCAAAAGGACCTTCCTTCCTTCCTTCCTTCCTTCTCTTAGCTGTCTCTTTATTCAGGAGGGACTCTGACAAGAGCCAAGCAGAGCAGCAGTGTCTGGCTAAATAGTCTGAGCATCAGGACAAGAACCCAGCCCTGAAGGGAAGCAGCTCAGGTGGGTGATCAGGCAGACTACAAAGCCCATCCCTGAGTTAATATCTGAGATAGGTGCTTCAGATTTAGACTCTCAATGAGATCCAAGTCTTTAACCTGGCACCCACATAACCAACTGGGTGGCAGCACCATTTAATTCCAGGTTTTACTGGGTAACTGCTAATGCACCCCTTCAGGGGTCTAGGAAGGCAAAGAGAAAACATCTGGTAGTGGAGGCTGAAAGGCTTACAAGCCTGATCACATGGAAATGATGTAAAAACTGAAAAAGACCAAATGGTCCTTCTTCCCATGTGTCTACCCCTTACCTTACTTAACAGCCTCTATATTTTGGAGGGTCATACAGTGATGGCTAATGAAAAGCAAAAAAAGATGGAAACAGAGCAAGTTTTGGATGAGACATATTATGCCTCTTCTCAATGTGTATGATCTCTTTAAAAAGGGAAACAAAACGAAAAGCAAAAAGCAAAAAAGAAATGAGCAGCTCTGCTAGCTGCCTTTTCTCATAATTCCTTTGCAGACATCATATGGTAATAGATTCCTCCGTGCAAAGAGGTTGTGGCAAATGTCAGATGATTGATTGTGATGTCCATATTAGAAAGTATGTGGCTCTGTTTATTGGCAGTGCTTCAATCCCTCCTCTCTGTGTATTATGTTCTGAAGCCAAGTATCATGTTAGTGTCCCAGTGGAACCTGATGGGAAAACAAAGGCTTGGAAGTCTTGGGGTATGTTTCTCCACTTGCGTCTATTGTTTATTCCTTTCCTACAGGAACTGGTATGTGGATGAGCCTTCCTGTGGTAGTGAAGTCTGTGTAGTCATGTACCATCAGCCTTCAGCACCTGCTGGCATTGGGGGCCCCTACAAGTTCCAGTGGAATGATGACCGATGCAACATGAAGAACAACTTTATTTGCAAATATTTTGATGGTAATGAATGCTCTCCCAAGCTGAATTCTCAACCTCCTCTCTTATTTCATAAGCAGCTTCTCGTACCAAGAATTTGGTATGTGGTCACTAAGAATGCTTATCACAAATGCCAGCAATGATAAACTTCAGGAATTCTTGTAAAGAGATATGTAATGATACTTCCTCACTGAGTAATAATTATAGGAAAGGAAAGATTATCAGATGCTAAGAGAATGGATGAAAAGAAGAAAGAATATATTTCATGTGTGATAAAGCAAGATTTATGAGAACATCTAGAAAGAAAAAAGTTCTCTCTCTGGACAAACAAAAATTCTTACTCATTCTACATGCACAGTTAGCTGTAGGAGCTTGGAATAAGCTGACCATTGCTCCTACAAGTCTTCCAACAGCTATGTGAGATATTTTCTCAGAATTTAAAGAAACACACTAATAACCAGAGGAGGCAGAAGATAAAACACACCAATTTTACTGGCACCAGGAAAAAATAGCAGGCACATTGATGATCAAGTTTAAACTCCCCAGGCTACCTACTGTCTATATGTCTTGCAACCTTAACTTGTATTTGCTTCTAGATCTTTAAGAGTTGCAAATTGGCTATAAATCCAGTCTCACCCTGCTGAGGTTTCCCAGACTCTTTTATTAAAACTGACATAGATCTAAACTTGAACTGATTCTTGATCTATCCCTGAAGTTTCTCACCTCCCTGAAGCCAAATTCTTGGCCCCAGTTCTGCATTATTTCCTGACAGGGGTAGAGTGACTTGTTAGTTATATCTAGTTTGGGACTAAGAATCCTGTCATTTAAAATTTTTTAAATTGGACTATGCTCCGGGGGTAACTTTTGCTACTAAAAGATATTTTTCCTTCTTTTTTTTTAAAGAGAGGAGAGAGAGAGAGAGAGAGAGAGAGAGAGAGAGAGAGAGAGATTTTTAATATTTATTTTTTAGTTCTCGGCAGACACAACATCTTTGTTTGTATGTGGTGCTGAGGATCGAACCCGGGCCGCACGCATGCCGGGCGAGCGCACTACCGCTTGAGCCATATCCCCAGCCCCAAAAGATATTTTTCCTTCTTCATCTCTGAGACAAATTCTTTTATATAGTGACCATACCAAGATTCTCCCTACCATACCAAGTTGTCTCAGGCTGGGAGGTTTTAAAGAACTAGACTGGCTTATCAGGTCACCTTCATAGATCAGTGAAAGGAAAACACTTGTTACAAACTGGCTTTCCATTACTCCTATTAATTATATTATATTAACTCCATGGCTAAACATTTTTACTTTTTAAACATTTTTTGAAATGTGAGATTTTGAAAATTGCTTTAATATTCTTTTATTTTTTAGCTTGGTTCCTTTCTAAAAAGAAATCATATTCATCATTACTTTTGCTATTGCTCATATTAGTTAGACCGAGTTCTGTCCAGAAAAATATGGCATACACAAAGATTTTACTAGGAGAATAAAGTAAAAAGGATATTTGCAGAAGTGGTAAGCAAAGAGCAGGAGATGGTAAAGTACCCAGAGACTAACTACAATGGGAAGCTCTTACCACCCCTAGGCCTAAAAGGGCAAAGGGAGAGAATCTTTTAACAGAATCCAGAAAAGGCTTGAGGTCATAAAAAAAGAATCCCCTCAACAGAAATGGTAACCACAAAATACAATTACTGTAAAATTATGCTGATAAGCAAGGGACCATGAAGAATAAATACTGTGACCTCTCTCTCCTACCTTCTGATCTCCTGCTTTGCCTCCCACTGGCTAAGTCTAATAAGAAACCAAAGGATTCCCAGTGAAACAGTCCACAGAGATCAGCCCAGATCAGAATGAATCCAATAGTGGGAGATAGGCACATGGCAAAGAACTAACACATTGCCTTTATGTGGCCTCCCATCCTCAGCATAAGTTCATATTATTCAGCATGCTGAAATAAGGGTGGACAAGATCAGTCTCAGTTCTCACCATTCTAACACCTCTCCTCCCCATCCTATCCTAATACCTTTCTGCTAGTTTAGTTCCCCAAGAGACTTAACTGTTGTTTCCTGTGTGTAGAACACATTTTCCCTCTCTCTTTCAACTTGTTTTCACCTTTCATGTTCAGGTTAAGCAGCAGTGTCTGGCTAAATAGTCTGAGCATCAGGGCAAGAACCCAGATGCTCAGACTATTTAGAACTTACTAAACAACTAAGTAACACAAGTCATAACAACAAAGTAAAACAAGTGATACTGGATTGGATTACAGACCATGATGATAATGATGATGATGGTGACAGTGATGATGACAATTTTATATAAATGACAATATTAGGACAATTGGCAGAATGTGCATATGATTAGATAACAGTATTATATCAATGTTGATTTCTTGGTTTTGATCAATGGATTGTGATATAGTATAAAAGAATGCCTCTCTCCCTTTTAAATATAAATTGAAGTTGTTAAGAGTAGAGGGATACCATGTCTGAAACTTTCTTTTTGGAAAAAAGTTACATATGTGTATATATATAAATATGTGTATATTATAAATTCAGCATCTATGTATATATAGATATAAGCATATAGAGATAAGTAGATTGATACAGATAATAATTAAGCAAATGAAATATAATAAAATAATAAAGTGAAGGATATATGAGAATTCCTTGTACTATTCTTACAAATTTTCATAAATCTGAAATTATTTCAAAATAATTTCCTTGGAGAAGCTTTCCAGGACCCCTCAAGGTTAGGTGATCCTCCTGTGAGAACCAGAAGCACCTCATACACAGTACTTTCACTTCCCGTTTCCAGGTTTGTCCCTTTCACTATATGCTTACAAGAAGTCTGGAAACATACTTGTCTAGCCAACTGATGAAGTAGGGGAAGATCACTTCTGTGGTTCCCAAAAGATGACATTCTGTCCTATCATGCCACAGTATCAAGAGACTGGGTCAGTTATCATCTCTAAAACTAGGGTTGAGAATGTGGCCATATGGCATGCAAGCCAGACCTGAATATTTGACTACTCCAGGAATACGGTAAAGGCACAGGGATATTCAGGGAAAACTAGAGAGAAACCATTCAAGGTATGGCAGATGCACTACTCAGATGTATGGCAGATGCATGGCATCGAGGTGCCATGTTTACTGCAATTTTGCACAGTAGACTGAATTATGGAGGAACAACAATACGAATAGATCATTAAATGTCACTGAATATACTATGTATTTCAATGTAATATCATGAAATTAACATGAATTAATATTCTCCTATATGTCCATATTTTATGGCCATCTTGTCAAATATAAGCTCCTTAGAGGGCCAGGATTATTTCTCATTTGCTGTTGCATGGCATAGTTATATCTCCTTACTATTTTAACTTTTATTTGAATTTATTAATTTTTATTTGAATTGGTTGAAATTCCAGTTTAGCAACTTACTGGTTATGAAATTTGGGCAAGTTATTTAATCTCCCTGACTTTTGGTTTCCTCATGTAGAAAAACCAAAAACCTGACTCCCTCGTCAGGTCATTATCGAGATTGAGCTTGTTCTTATAAAACATTTAGAATAGTTTCTATCATTTGTAGGCATTATATAAGTGAGTTTTAAAATAAATATATTTGCTTCACCTCTACGTACACACACTTATAGGAAGATGATTAAAAACTTCTGTCCTTTCTGAATGAAACTTCAGAATAAGCTTGCCATCTGAGCCTTAGGAATGTGAATTCTAAAGTTTTGCCCCTAAGAACCCTGTCACTATCAACTCCAGGGCATCTAAATAGCATAAGTGACTCATTGTCAATACAACAGTTCAGTCAGAAGCCAAAACATTTGACATAGGTTGTCTGTGCAACCTCACTTTCCCGAAGCTCTTGGAACTATTTAAAATAATTCAAGGCCAATCACCAGTTTTTGATTTGGGGCTAGCCAGTCCCTCGAACACTTTTATTGCTTGGAAATCAGTGCTTGTTGCTCTCTGAAACATCTGCAATATGAGTTGCTAAAATGTCTTGGATTGCTGTAAAATAATTCAGGAGTGTAAGTGTGGAAGTAGGGCTTTCTGTTGAAATCAGATGAGCTATACATTGATAGAAGCAGGAGCTACATCACAGCACACAGGGATTCATCATACAGACTTTCTACTTTGGTGTATATTTAAAAATTCTCATATTTAAAGTTTTTGAATAGTTTTCTTTTTTAAGAAAAAACACCTAAGTAAAGCTGGGGGAAGGCTAGTCTTTATGCAGAAGCAATTCTTTTGATTTAATGAACCTAGTCCTGGTATCTGATAACAGAAAATAATCTGATTACAATAAAGTTTATTGGAAATGGTTGCTATTCTCTAGCTGATTTTATTCAGATGGCAGGAAAATTTTGTTATTATTTTCATTTTTATTTCTGCAGAGAAACCAACAGCTCCTTCCACAAGACCTGGAGGTAAGGCTGTCATTTGAGATTTGAGTTAACTCAGCCCCTCTTCATTAAGTTAGAATCAGTTCTTTAGACCAGATTATTCAACAGAAGATGATGGTGTTAACCCAGACAATTTGGATGCACCACATCCAGCTATGATGAGTCCATTATTCTCACTCTTTGGTATTGTCTCTTTCAAAACTGAAGAACAACAGTAGCAAATTCAATTTGGGATATTATTTATTATTATTGACAATAGGAAGGGAATTATTTAATTTAATGAGACAAGAAATGAGCCAAACAGAATGGTCCTAGCAGAGAGTCACTGGCCCTTCCCTTCGGCACCTCACTCCTCCATGTGGCTATTAAGCCAGCTGCCTGTCACTTGTTTTACTGCCTGACCCTCACCTAACGACAGTAAAATTCATATCTTTACTTTCCTATGTATATAAGTGTCGATGGCCAGGTTGCTACTGCTATTTAGCATCTCACTTTACACATGGTAGGACCTCAGAGAATATCTGCATTAAAGTTCCTTTTTCCAAGTTCTCAAGTCCATGTGTCTCTCTCCAGGTGAAAGAACAGAGCCAGCAACACCCACAATTCCAGAGGAAACACAGAAAGAAGATGCCAAAGAAACATTTAAAGAAAGTAAAGGTATGTACAGAGTTCACTTGGGGAAAACAGACAATGAGACTCTCTTGATTGCTTTACTATATGTTTATATTCCCTATTTTGTTCTTTCCCACAGCTCCTTAAAAATGGAATTAGACCGTTATCTGTGACTTTGCCAAAACTGTATTTAAGGTTAGGTTTCATCAGTGAAATATGCAAATAGAGCTATCATAAGACAATTGAGGAGATCAGACTAGTCAGGAAGTAAAAGACCTGCAGGAAGACAAAGCCCCTTGGTCTTAGGCTAGAGGTGGGATAGGGCTGGGACTGAGAGAATGGATGCAGAGACAGAAGAGCGGAAAGACCTGTACCACAATGCATAACACCTGTGATTAATAGCCATCTGTGAAATAGAGGAAATGGACCAAAACATTTAAAAAGATCATAAAAGGTAAAAGAAAATGGAGTGATAAATTGGAGTGCTAATGGACTTTCAACCTCACCCTCACACTGAGTTTCAAGAAGGAAATCTGGGGTTTTGTTACTGGGCAACTTTAAAAAAACACTTAAGTTCTCTGTGCTTCAGTTTAATCATCTGCATAATAGAAGTAATAATATTTTTCTTAGCTACCTGGGAACATTACTGTGTCCATAAAATGAAATAGAATGTTGCAGTTCTGACACTAACCACCTGAGTTGGCACAGACTGCCCCCCCCCATAGCTTAAAGGCACAGTCCATAACTGCCCTCACTTCAAGCATTACCCACAAGTTTAGGGATCCTCAGGTCACATCTCTTCTGACCAATTGGCTACAATTCCAGGAGTGCCTACAACCCTCTCTCAAGTTCAAAAATTCATTAAGACAACTCACAGAACTCAGGAAAACACTGTACATACTTAGGCATTTTATTACATAGGATACAGCCAAAGAAAAGAACATGGAGTGAGGTCTAAAGGAGTTCTAATTGGGCCCTTCCATGTTCTCTCCCAGTGGAATCAGAATGTATCATCCTCCTCCTGGCATATTGATGTGTACAGGAAGCTCCACTTATCTTTGGTGTCCAGGGGGTTTACAGGAGTTTCATTGATTACTTAGGTGGGGTAGATCTTATCACCAGTCATGTGGTATAACTCAGTCTCCAAAGGAGGTCAGGCTGATGTCATCAGGCTCAGAGCCCCCACCCAAAAATCACTTGTCCAGTTTTCTTGTGTGGCCAGCCCCCCACAAACACAGGCCACCACTGTCTTGGACAGGTCCTTACAATAAATTCTAGTACCATCCAAGATGCTCATGAATAACAAAGTCAATTCTATTACTTGGGAAATTCAAGTATTTAGACCCTCCTTCCCAGGAACCAGGGGCAATTTTTTTATGATACAACAAATGTAATATGTGCTAGAAAAAAAATAAAATGCTATGCAAAGGTGTGTGGCATTTTTATTGCTCTTTGATATTATAGTGGTACTTAAAGAGGATTTTTGGAGTATTTTGGTTTTGGTTTTTGATGGTTGTCAGGTTTGCAGCTTCACAGGGGAAAAAAAAAAACAGTAATAGCCACTGGATGGCTGGAATCTTAGATCAGTGGGAACAGGAAGGGAGTTAGTCTAAAATTCTTGCTTCCTCCCAAAACCTTATTGTTGGTTCTAAGTCTTAAAGGACTAAAAGGTACAGAAAAGAAGACCTCTAAGAGAATTTCATAGTCACTGCTCATGAACCCAACTGAAGCCAGTTGGTCTTAGTTAGAAATGTTGGGAAGCATTTAAGTCTAATTTGTGTGCTCTGTGAACTTCTGTTTCACAATAATGACCCCAGAACTTTTGACTGGATTCTTCTTTGCTTCCTCTCCCCAACCCCTACACTGGGAACTACCATGGCTGCTCTCAGAGGCCAAGGCATCAATACTGCACCAATAGTCTCTGCTTTGCTACGAAGGACAAGGGAATAAAGAATATCTTTTCTCCAAAAAATAATCTCTTTGAATTATAAAAAGTACCCTTTTGGTATTTGCAAGACTCAAAAAATTAAAATTATTTTCATTATTATTACTTAGGGTAAAAAGACAGGTAGAAAATATTTAATGAGGGGCTGGGGATGTGGCTCAAGAGGTAGCACGCTCACCTGGCATGCGTGCAGCCCGGGTTCAATCCTTGTCACCACATACAAACAAAGATGTGTGTCTGCTGAAAACTAAAAAATAAATATTAAAAAAATTCTCTCTCTCTCTCTCTCTCTCTCTCTCTCTCTCTCTCTCTTTAAAAAAAAGGAAATATTTAATGAAACTAGAAGATGCTTTACTAACTGGGTAATTCTACATCTACCTCCTAGGAATGTGCTCTCTGGAATACCCTGTATTTGGTTATGCCTTTTTAAAAAAATTTTTAAATATATTTGTAGTTGTCAATAGATACAATACCTTTATTTTATTTATTTTTATGTGGTGCTGAGGATCGAACCCAGTGCCTCATACATGCTAGGCAAGCACTCTACCACTGAGCCACAACCCCAGCCCCTTGATGATACCTTTTGAAGCCAGGTTTGAAGCACACATACATGCCAAAAAAAAAAAAAAAAAAAAAAATCACCAATGCTGATAGTGTGCTATTTTTCTTTTCAGAAGCTTCCTTGAATCTTGCCTACATCCTAATCCCCAGCATTCCCCTTCTCCTCCTCCTTGTGGTCACCACAGTCATATGTTGGGTTTGGATCTACAGAAGGAGGCAAGTAAAACCTTCTTTATGTAAACCTTTGTGTCCTCTGCCTTTGTGAATATTTGGATATTGCCCTGTTTACTTCATTAAAAGTCACAGAAGCCCCAAGAGAATGGCCACTGTAGATTGGAGAGTAAATTATCTGGCAGGCTCAGAGTATTCAGAGATTAAGAGAGTGATATTATATTCTTTATTTTGGGGTATGTGGAAGATTTTAAACAATTTGAAAAGTGAAACTATGTTATTCACTTCCTGTGTACCCACATATCACCCAGCAAAAGTGCTCTCACAATTATAGGTCCTGGTTCCAAAAGTGTGTTGAATAAGGAATGACTGGTAGGCCATGTGAAGCATGACTGTTCCAAAGCATTCTGGTAAGCCTCTGAAACAGAGCCACTTCGTTCAGAATGAAAGAGCCAAATTCCTTTTAACTGACTTTTAAAAAATTGATTGCATAGGAGTAGATTGGTTCAAAACACTAGATAGTATAGACAACCTCTTTTGCAGGCAGGATCAGTGTCCCTATTTTTTAGGCACACAGAATTGTTCTCAGTTACCTTTTCATTCCCCAGGATCATGGTATTCATAGAAGGCTAGTATTCCCATTTACGATAGAAAAAGGTTCAATTTAAGTTTTGGCTTCCTTTGATGACCAATCTGAAACTAATTAGTAAGATTCTGATGTACAACTTTTCAACTTCCTTAAGGGATTATTACAAGCATCAAAGCAATGAATACATGCAGAGTGGGCATCTGATAAGTACTCAAAAATGTCACCCATTATTCTGATCGTTTTTATCTAAAAGTAGAATTCAGTTCAAAAATTACAAATATATTTTTCAACTGTTTACTCTGCAGTTGATTCTTCATTTCCCTTCTTTATCTATTTAGCACCTCGCCAGGATTTGGGAATAGTAACTCATGCTTGAGTCTATCTCTCTAAGGGTTTTTAACCTTTCTTTGTGCCATAGACCCCTGTAGCAGTCTGGTGAAGCCTGTGGCTCTTTTCCCAGAACAAAATTTTTAAATGCTTGAAATTTACATTGGGTTGCAAAGGAAACAATTAGACTTTTATATTGTTTAGCAAAAATATTTCCAAAAATGAATACATGACACAGCATTTTCATGTGCTTTTTATTAATTGCTCTTTATTTAGTGATGGGTATAATTATTATAATTTTGAAGTTGAGAGGAAGCAACTATGATAACTGTGATATGATATGAAAATAGTTATGATTCCTGTTGTTGATCAAGTCAAAGACATTTTTAATTCTACTCTGGTTTAATAACTGAATTCATAATGGAAGGCCATTCTGTGTTTCACTTATAGATGAGTTTCGAAAAGAGTGACATTTTTTGCCCATCAAATTCTATCCCTGGACCCTCCCAAGACTCTGGGTGCCCAGGATAGAAACCTGTGTCCCACTCTCTGGCCTCAGTGAACGACATATACATAATTGCTTTGAACTTAACACTTTCCTGGTTTGTCCTCCTCCCTCCCCAAAGCCCTGGCCTGTAGGTTTTGGTAAGTAAGAAGTACACTTTGAGGAACAGCCAGGGTATACTTCCTTCTGCTTTCAGGAAGCTCAGAGATTTTCTCAGGGGAGCACCTCAATTGCCTGGTCTCAATACTCAACCCTTTTTCTCCCTCTCCCAGGACACGGGAACAGGCAGACCCTAGCATAAAAGGAAAACACAACATCTGGCCCTCTCCTCACCAAGAACACAGCCCAGACCTAGAGGTTTACAATGTCATAAGAAAACAAAGTGAAGCCGATTTAGCTGAGCCCCGGCCAGACCTGAAGAACATTTCATTCCGGGTGTGTTCAGGAGAAGCCACTCCTGACAACATGTCTTGTGACTATGACAACATAGCTGTGAACCCTTCAGAAAGCGGGTTTGTGACTATGGCAAGTGTGGAAAGTGGATTTGTAACCAATGACATTTATGAGTTCTCCCCTGACCAAATGGGGAGGAGCAAGGAATGCAGATGGGTAGAAAATGAAATATATGGTTACTAGGACACATGAAAAAAAAATTTGAACTGATAAGAATGGAAAATATATAAGAAGAAAATTCTCCTATTTTCTATAAAGGGAAGTACTCAGAATGTCTATGAAAATGCTCAGATCAGGTCCTGGGGGTGAGCATGTGATCCCCACTAACCCCTGTTGGGTTCCCAAGTTCTGGCTTTATCCCTTGTCCCAGCCTCTTTCTCACCCAGCGGGACCTTATGAAAAAGCACCTTGGGGGCTGGGATTGTGGCTCAGTGGTAGAGCGCTTGCCTAGCATGTGTGAGGCACTGGGTTTGATTCTCAGCACCACATATAAACAATTAAGTAAAATAATAAAAGTCCATCAATAACTAATAAAAATATTTTTTTAAAAGCACCTTGGCACATAGTGGTGTCCCAATAAATGTCAGTCGACTGTCAGTTAAAAAAAACAGTACTTTAACTGACAAAGATGGAGCTTGTAGCTGTAGAACATGGGGAGCCCACCTCTAGGTTCTGTTTTTCTTGCTCTATACAGCAGCACACATAATCACAAAGAGATAGACTACAGCATCTTTTCAAAGCCCAAGTATAGTAGCCCCAGGCTGGCCTGCCCATCGGCAATTTTCATATCTTTTTTTTTTTTTCCTCAAAGAATAAAATCAAATAAAAAGCAGGAAACAGAATGTTAGTCAGTCTGTGTCTACAGCCCTTCCTCTGCATGTGGCCTCAGGGGACCTTTTTTTTTTTTTCTCCTGACATCTAAACTTAGAAATGTTCAACTTGGAAATACTTTAGAAACTAAAAATGAAATTTGTGTCTGTGCTTCTAAACTTATTTGTGCTCCCAGCCCTGATACTACACGTTGTCTTATTTGCACATGCATTTTACTATAGCATCAACATATTACTAAGAATGATAATAATCCTACTTTTTTGGGGGGGTGGGGGCGGGGTGGAGGACATGACTATATGACTACTTCAAATACTTTTGGTCTCAAATCCAGAGAAAAGTTTCTGGATTTGAGACCAAAGGCCTGGTATCAGTCATGTAATTTAGTAAGTCATATACACTTCAAAAATCTGAAAGCCATTATTTAAATCACCAGCAACCTCCCTCTATCAACTTAATAATCTTATCATTTTAACCACTTCCCTCTTAGGAATTATTTTTAATAGTCTAGCAATTATGTCTCATATATGGAGCCCCAAACCAGACAATTAACTAGTCTGAGTCAGCAGTATCAAATGCAGTGAATTGTAACCACTGCCCAACTATCTGCCCTAGTAAGTCAGAGAACAGGGTGGATAACAAAAATATTATTTCTGTCTGTTCTAGAAGTGTGTTTTGTGGAGTTACAACATTTGAAGCAAAAGCAGTGAGCAGCATGCGGTCTGAAGGACTAATTCATTGCTCTAAAATGTCCGAATTCCCACTTTGCCTCATACAGGTTACTCTAAAACCTGTCTCTTTATCCTCTACTGTGTCCCCACTATCCCCTGCTACAAGGCTGCAAACTCCATGAGGATAGCAACTCTACCTGCCCCTCTGCATTCTACTTGTTGCAACCTATGACAGCACCTTGCAGAGTATGCAACCAATGTTTGTTGAATAGATAGATGCACAATGATTCTTTCAGACTGATGTGAAATTGACTAAATATTTCAGATGAAAAATTTGTAGGACCTGTTTTTTACATGCCTCCTAGGTGGAGGAGGTAAATGAACAATTTTAATTTGAAAAGACCTCCTGCTACCTAGGAAGGAGGAAGCATAGCCACTAGGAACTAGAAGCTACTGAATTATGTTAACAACTTATTTTAATTATGTCACAAAACTTTAAATGAAGAGCCTTTTTTTTTATATACCAGTGGTACCAGGGATTGAATCAGAGGTGTTCAACCACTGAGCCACATCCCCAGCCCTTTTTGTATTTTATTTAGAGACAGGGTCTTGCTGAGTTATTTAGGGCCTCGTGAAGAGCCATTCTCAACCTATAAAGGCAATCAGGTTATGAGCAGAGCAGGCCCTTTGCTCTTTAGCATCTTCCCTTTATCATTAGTGTGTTATCTCTGCCAGGACCCACAGATCTCTACTACCTATTTACACACAGTAAGTCTTAGCCTATATTTTAATTATTCACTTCCTTTTTTCTTCTTCACATGTGCAAGTTTATATTTATCCAACTCCATTTCTACCTCTAATAATTGCACTTCACTTATGTAACAAACATCTTCTAACTCTTAAGTGTTTGCTGTGTTCAAATTGAACAACAACTTATTCATTAGGCCAGGATTATTTAAAAATTTAGTAAGCCTGTATCATCATTTAAAATGGTAATTCCCCTAGGGCTGAGGTAGAGTGCTTGCCTAGCATGCACAAGATCCTAAACTTGATCCCCAACACCACAAAAATAAATAAATAAGTAAAACAAAATAGCAGTTCCTGACCTTTTTCCTCCATTGTGACACACATGTCAGATGAATTGTATGTATGAGATAACCCCTATGATCTGTCTACTCCACAAGTATTTCCTGAATACCCACCATGTGCCTTGTACTAGAATGTGGCCCACAGCTGGATTTATGGCTGAGGTTTGGAGAATCTAGTTATATGTTATATACATTGCCAAATGTGGTAGCTGTGAGGCTCTTTTTTTCTCTTATACTATATTCACTCATTCATTTATTTGAAAAATTTTAAACATGTCTACTTTTTGTGGGGAGACATGCTAGGTATTAGACATATAGCAATAAGTAATATAGATTGACTCCAATTTATAGGGCTTATATTCTAGAGGGGAAAAGAAATATATCAGACACGAGTGAAAGAGAATTTGCTATAATTTGTTTTTTTTAAATTATTTGCAGCTCTTTCTATTTGCCCTTTTCTTTCCCTTCCCTTCCTTTCTGTTCCTGAATAGTTATGTCCTAAAGCCAACATGAGAGAAAGTTAGGCATCTGTATCTTGGGGATGGAGAGGACTTGGTAGCTCAGATGGGATGTCAGGCCCGAGCAGGATGAGGAAAGAAGGTTTGCAGAGGGCAGACTGGGTGCCTGTGTGGCCTGAGCAGGTGAGGAGGCCATCCACACAGGGGAGGGGACAGCAGCAACAATGGGACACTGGCTGCACACAGGGGATTGATTAAATAAGTAAGCAGACTTAAGATAATGACATCTAGGCTTCTCACTATCACAGAAGGGGGCTACAGATATAAAAAGAGAGAAGACTAGAATAGATACCCCATGATGTTAGATCAAAATTACAAACATGAGTTTCACCTCTTCGCTTTCTATATCAAGTATAGATATACATATGTATCTATGTATGTACATTCTCCACTAAAAGAAACCAGAACTTCTTGAAAAAATGGCTGATTGCAGGGTGGAACCAGGAAAAATACAAGATTTGCCTTGGGTAGTAGCTACAATTAGATAGAAGTAATAAGTTCTGGTGTTCTACAGAATAATAAGGGGCCTAAAGTTCACAATAACCTATTGTATATTTTATGAATAACTGCAACAGAGGAGCTGGAAGTCTTCAAACACAAAGTAAGGGTAAGAAGATGGAAAATATTAATTTCCCTTTACTTTATCAGTACATACTTTATACATGCATTGAAACATCCCACTGTATCCCATAAATATGTACAGCTGTTATATGTTAATCAAAAATTGTTTAAATGTTTAAAAATGTGAAAAAAAGAATAGTTTGGGGACTTTTCTGCTGACAGAAAGCAAGGAAGTATTTAAGAAAGAGGGGAATATATCAGTAGATCACAGAAGTCTGCTTATAGTGGCCTACTTTGGCTAACTGGGATAATTCAGCATCAAAATCAATAATTATAGTGATAGGATATAACCTATCAGATAAAATGAAAATCATGAGCCCACCCTGATATAAAATAATAAATGAACAAATCGAAACTTTGATGAAGAATGAGATATTTACAGTTTAAAGTGTCTCCCCCACAAAATGCTCATTAATTGCCAAAGCAACACTGCAGGTGGACACCACCTTAATCAAATGATCCATGTGGAGATCATCAATAATGGGGCAAATTGAAACCATAGCACCTAATGTGAAAGGAACACAGCATCACATCTGTGTTATTTCTGCCTAAGTACACAACCTAATGACAAGGAAGCATCATACAAAAACAAATTAATGGACATTCTACAAAATAACTGGCTTGTGGACTTTAAGTCTCAAGATGACAAATATCAAAGAAAGACTGGGGAACTACTGTGATTAAAGGAGAGTAAAGACAGATGACAACAAAAGGCACTACCTGATTCTGAACCAGATCCATTTTCTATGAAAGAACACATGACAAAACTTGAATGGAGCCTGAGGATTAAATGATAGTAATATAGCATACGAATTTTCTAATTTTGATGGTTGTATTGCAGTTATCTAAGAGAATGTCCTTGACTGTAAGAAACACATAATAGAGTATTAAGGGATGAGGGGCTATCAGGTTGGCAACGTACTCTCAGATGATTTGAGGGGGTGTTCATTGTTATATTTGCAAATTTTTCCCCTTAGAAATACTTTAAGGAAGAGCATTTGCAAGCATTGGTACTATAATCACTGGTAATATATTGTTTACAATACTCCTTGCGTCTAAGCTCAACACACCAGTTTGTTATGACGTTGTGACTGAGGGCACCTGAGAGCCTCTGATGCAAGACAAACATGAATCATTAATAAAGCTATCAATCAGTACCCTATCTCCAGGCTCAGGCATATTTCTCAAACCTTCCTTTTGCCAAGTCCTGGCAGTCTACAGGGAACTATGATGAGCCCCCTGCCAAAGCAAATTCCAAGATCCTTTTCCTCCAAGATTTCCCATTTTTCCCATTGTGTGATCTAGACTAGGAAAGCAAACAAACAAAAAAAAACTTCATAGTGTCTTCCAGCACTTAAATTATTTCAATATGACTTTTTCACAAATTATTACAAAGCATGTCATGCCCATATGACTTCTGAACTTGTTCTAAGACATACATAATTATGGAGATAGAGGTACCAGATGAAGACCTAGGAAACTGCATACCCAGAGATGAAGAAGCAACAATGCACAGCCCCTTCTTTCTTTCTTTCTTTGAACAGTGAATTGTTAAGTAATCTTATTTTTTTAATCCAGAATTTGAACAGCAGAAATAATGACAAGAATTATTCATCAGAGCAAGTTCTCCAAAATAGAATAAGGTCAGGTTTGAGGTTTCAAAAAAATATTAATCTATTACATTTATATTACCCTACTGAAGAAATACTTCAAAATTTCTATGATCAGTTACACATTTAATCA